TCCTTGCTCCTAGTAGCGATGCCAGGAGCCCCTAGTAGCGTCCTTGCTCCTAGTAGCGATGCCAGGAGCCCCTAGTAGCGTCCTTGCTCCTAGTAGTAAGGTCAGGAGCCCCTAGTAGCTTCCTAGAAAAAGAGATCTGACATGGAGTTTCGCCCTGATTGGTTGGGACGATCCCTGGAATCTGCCGTCAATCTTGAAGATTGCAGCTTTAGATGCTTTCGCAGCTTCCCTGCAAAAACTGTGCAAAATAGGTGAGAGAAACTCTGTCTACCTCCGGTGGCTTCAATTGTGTTGTGTATGCTTCCCCTGAATGTCTGCCGTTTGTTTCACTAGCCATGCTAACAAGTCAGCAGGCAGGGACTGCCACAAACAAGAGCAATTCATGGAAAATCCTTTGCCTTAACAACTTGTAAGTGTATAGTGTTGTAACCTGTAACCTCTGGACCTCTTGTGTCCATCCATTCCATACATCTCTCCCATCCATCCTCCCATCCGCCTGCTGTAGCACCTGGGTGGTCTGCTCAACCAATTCATGCATTCGTCGAATTTCCATCTCTTCATCCTGGCAGTTTGAAGACAGTCAGGTGAACAAGGTCTTGACTGGGTGGTTCGATGGAAACTTCCTGTTTTCCAGTGGATGAAGGCCCAGCATCATATCGGTACAATTGCCAGCAAGGATTGGAGCGGTCTTTCCGATGGGATTTGAGGTTTCCGGTCTTGACCTGGCAAAAGTGATCAAAAATCTTGGTGGCAAAGGCACGTTCACTTCAATCAATAGAAGCACCCAAACACCTACGTACCAATCTACCAAGGGATTCTGTATGTTGTCCCCTGACAACATCCACCTGTCAGTCTCCAGGTTGTCTCCAAAAAAAGGAATCTTTTGATGAGATCTTCCAAAAGAGTTCATCGAGCAGTCAGGATGCTCGCGCATGCTAGGAAAGAAGCAGTTTCAGCAAAGAAAGATCGTCAAAATTGATTCCCCAAGGCCCCAAGGTCAAGATTCTGACGATCGTTGACGGCCGAAGGAGCTGGTTGTCTTCAGTGCAAACCTGTCTCAAATTTGAGAGACTCTCACATGGCATACTCTTCGAAACGCCTACAGCTGGTCAAAGACATCGGCTTTCCACGCAGCTGGCTTTGTCGTCTCTCCCAGGCCCCAACCACCTGAGCATCCTCATCCTGTACGAAGACACTCGCATAGGCCGGACCCTGACCTGCAGAGCTGGACATGAGGCCAATTGATATCCCGGCAAGAGACCCCAAACAGTCTGTCTAAAGGTCTAAGGTCTAGAGTCTAGAGATGTAGAAACAGAAGGTCTAGATATCTAAACGCATCGGGATGGGCTCCAGAGAGAGGTGATGGTGAGAGATGTCTGAAAACACATATGAGAGCACACTTGCTGCCCCGCCCACAAGGTCCACAAAGCACTGGGCCTGCCACGGTATCTGCGCCTTACACGAAGTACTGCCCCCGCCACGAAATCTGCACATCAAGACTCACATCGCGCAGCCCTGCCAAGGCGGTTCGCAGCAAGAGCATTTGACGAGACGTCAAGTTGCCAAAACGCTTTCGCTTCAGACTTCCTCCGATTTCTGGCAAAGAGCCACATGTCCAAAGTCACACATCACTGCACCTGCCAAGAAGGCAGAGCACACCGAAGATCACCACCATGTCTCACGTCCAAAGTACTGCGCCTGCCACAAAATCTGTACATCGAGATAAAGCCGCTCCGAGCTCCTGCACCTCACGACAGTCGGCTTTGGACCATTAAATCACAAGGTTTTCCCTTGCGCCTGCGCCAAGCCCGAAAATGTGCACGGCACCACAACGAGAGCGAAGTCTACCCGTCCTTAACTCTTACCGTAAGAATCCCTCGTGTAGACACACTGTTTGTGCACAGATGTGCACAGTTGATATACTCATCTATAGGACAGACATCTCACCTTTGCTTCGATAGCGATTCAAACTCATGGGTTCCGATCAAAACTGTCCTCCATAAGAGGAGAGGCTTCCAATGATGGCTTATAAAGGACGATCAACCACCAAGTTCAAAACCATGCAATCCACGGCACAAACAACGGTTGCTCACTGCCGCACCTGTCAGCAGCGACAAGTCCACCTGGCTTGCCGCGCGCATCGCGTATGCAGTCAGGATCTCCAAATCTTGGGACCGCCCCAGTAGTGAACTCAAGTTCATCCGAGATTAACACATGGGTGGACATGCGCTGCTGAGAGAACGGCCGTTCTCTGCATGTCTTCCAGTGGCCTCCATCTCTGCTGCCGAATGATGATCCAATCGGGAAACCTGCCGAAGCATGGCGAGACGCATTTGAGGAACTCTTTGACTCCGTCACCCCAAGGCATGCTACGATGCACAAGCTCCTGCTTGCCAGCTCTCATGACCCTTCTGGGCTTGGATCGGCCTGTAGTCTGAGGGTGATGGTCCAAGTCCTGTTGTGGTGGGCATCTCGAAGTTAGAAGGAACCCTCAGGAAATGATGGCTATATATGGCTATATAATATAATGGACCGGTCTGTGGCTATGACTGGGAAATGACCAAAAAGCATACAAAACACTATCAAAAACCTCTGCGACAAGCTCCTGCTTTTGAACCTAAACAGTGGCCACCTCCCGAGGTCTGCCGACAACCATCGGACTGCTCGCACCTGTTGACTCATCGTCTTGAGCCGTTCCCTGAGACGTTCCATCTTCGTGTCCAACTGCTGCCTCGCGTCATACGACGCGGCCGTGTCGTGGATTTCACCACTCCAGAACCGGTTCCCTTCGTACAAGCAGGCAGACTGTGCACTCGATGTCTCGGGACCCCACGGTGTGTGAGTGACGATCTCAATGCAATCATCAAGGCCAACATGGCCCTGGCAGAAACGAACTCTGAGTCGACTCTTACTCGTGCCAAAATCCCTTTTGAGATCTTTTGAGTGCCAAGCGCCAAGTCATCCGAGGATGTCGAAGCAAAGCACTCCCGCGACCATGCAGTTCCAATTGTGGCAACTTTCACAACACCGCACTCAATCATCAATAACTTGATCTAATGTTTCAACCAATGCCAACTGTGACTGCAAACTTCAAACTCATTCCGGCATGCTGAATTCCAACACACCAGCAGGGAAGCAGGAACAAAACCAAGAAAAGCGTAACACCACACGAAAGTGCCACACGGCGGCGCTTCTTCGGCCACAACCATCCCGCGCCCGAGCGCCTTCTCCTTGACTTCGGGCAACTTGGTCAATTTGATTCCAACGTTGTTCTTTTCCATGGCTTTCTGAAAGCGCTTGGAATGCGCCAAGAGCGCCTCCTTGGAGATCTGCTTGTTCTGGCAGCTTGGAGGGTCGGTGAACGGGAGACCGAGAAAGGCGGGAAGCGAAGCATGCGTGCAACAGCCATGCCGTGCCGGGTTCGTTCGAGCTCTGAAGTCCCAAACGAACATAGCATTGCATCCGCAGAGGTCGGTTTGAAATGTCATCGGTGCAGGTCGGTTTGAAGTCAAAATCAGCAGGATAATCTTTCTACTTTTGCGAAACGATGCTCCGTATTCGATCTATCTAATTCATATACAGTAGATGGCTGCAGAATGCCCTTGCCTTGGAGGAGTAGAAGATGGCCTTGAGCCCTGAGCATGCTGGCCCACGCCACGCGAAGAAATGGTAGTAAACAGCCCTTGTCAAGACTACGCCTATGCTGCCACATGGACTCGCAATCCAGTGCCAAGAGTGGCGCTTGTCCAATTCAATCATATACTTGAAACAAATTATGAAAAGTACAGGTATAATACACCTTAAATCACCTTAAATGCAATGTTCCTGGATCCTTTCTCTGGCACCTGCACCATTACGTGCCGATGTCGGCCCTCCGACCTCTCGTGCCCCGAGGTCGTGTGCCGGCCGCCCCGACTCGTACTCAAGGTCTGCCTGTGACCCAGTGGTCGAACTCGAACTCGTCTTTGCAGGTGAGGTCCAAGGTTTTCTGGCAAAACGGCAGACCACGCTCGACAGACACTGGAAGTACTGAGTCTGCAGGTGATGTTCCGAAGCGGCTAAACATTGCCGGCCTCTGGGATGCTTCTATTTGTTCTGTTTGTTCTACGGATCTCCTTAACAGGCACTTCATTGTTCCCCTAAGCTGCACCAACTCAGACACATAAGAACCCCATGTCTTGCCACCACTTGTTGGTCTCTATGATACAAGCAGTGCAGCAGGATTTCGCAGAGATTCTAGGGATCTTCCGATAGACGCGGGGATGAGAACATCAGGCCATCTCTACAACTCCAAAGATGGAAGTTGTGAAGTAAGTCTCCTGGTCCAGTAGGCATTGCACAGTCTATATTCTGGGTGCATCTTGAGTACTAGCCCTCACCTCAATCACTTTTCATATCTTTTCATGTTTTCCCGGTTCACTCATGAAATAAGGACAACTCCCGGAACGGTCCACGCTCGAAGGCTGAGGCCAAAGCAGAACCTTTGGGACCATAGATGATCGAAAAGGACAAGTGCTCCAGCATCGGCAAGCCTGGCGCTCAGGACGATGCTCTGCGGATTGCTTAGATCGATTCAGAAAGGTCCAAGATTTGGTTTAAAGGGACGTCCCGTAGAATCTTATAGCAGACACAAAAGACATAATGTAAAAAAAAAAACGAGACCAACATGTATGTGCAGTTGAAGACATGGCAGTTGAACCATGTTCACACATGTCGCTGCAAAAAAACACTCCTGTTTCTTCATCTTGGCGCCATGAACGTGGAACGTGGAACAATGAGCGGTAGGCCAAGCTGGGCAACTCGGATCCCCCGACACCAGTCGATAGCTGGAAATGACCAGTGTCGGAGGTGCAGCAGCAAAGGGTCGGGCACCAACACTCCAAATGGGATTTTAGATGTGAAGATAATTATAGCATATAATGATGATATATGATGATATTAGTACCTGATGCATCCTGATGCCAATTGTCGAGCAATTCAAGATATTCAAGGGTGCCTCAAGAAGAGTCTATGACATTTGATGAGTGAATCTGTTGTTTCATGAGTCAATGACAGTCAATGACTACTCTTCGACCTGTGTCTGTTTGAGCAACTTCAAGCCCTCCATCTATAGAACGATCATCAAAAAACCCTCTCTCTAACAAGCTGGTCTTGCGATAGTGCAGGAAGACTGGCGTCTGTTGGCCCAGCTTAATCTCCACTACCTGGCGAACTGCCGCGGCCCGCTGCAAAAGAATGAACAATCCTGAAAGGTCATCCTTTTAGCAGCAACATTGAACATGGACGTGGACATCTATCAACTCTTTGGACATGTATGATGACAAATCGAGTATCTGCCCAAGCATCAAAGAACTCGTCTACAAGCATATTCAAAAGGCCCTCTGCGTTTACAAGTGGGACTCTCTCGCAGTCCTGGGCATGCCTCGTCCAAATTAACCATGGAGTCTTCTTTCCTGGAAAGGTCTGCAGTTCGGAGACAGCTCTGGAGTTGATCGGAGATTGGAAGGACAAGTCTTTGACCTTCCAAACCCAGAAAGTTCCGATCCGGAGTGCAAGGTGTTGAGCAACAAATGATCACAAGGGTAGGATCCAAACAATGGCCAGGCGGCCAAAGGTGCATACAGCATGCATACACACTGTATATGCCTCGAATCATCAGGGCCGCGTGGCTTCTATGTGTCTTTTATCCACGCAGCCCAAATCTAGCATGGAAGGTGAAACAAAGGGAAACGTGCAAAAGCAAACTTCATCAACAATCAAAAAAGTATTGCCACTTCTACTGCACATTGGAATATCTGATGAAGAAGACAAGCCAAAGTGACCACTGCGCCAAGGAGGTCTATCCCTTTCGCTGCCCAAGGCGGTGCACCGCACCGCGGCCTCTTCGCGCCGGAGTACCAGATGAGGCGCTTCGTGTCGTCGCTCAACTGGCGGTTCGTGTGGGGCTGAGGGCGAGTACCGTCTATGCCTGACGTTTCCAAAGAGATCGAAAAGTATCTGTGCGATGGCCTCCAACCTAATACATAGCTTCCAACCGAAGACATGTGCGAAAAAGTTGAATGCAATTAATTGCTGTATATAAGAAACGATATATTGCATCCAAAATTTTGGGCCAATGATATTGATTGTGCCATACATATCTTGTTTCTTTGATACACTTCACTCCCCTGCCCCTGCCCCAGAAGTACGCTCGCCTGGAACTGCCGGAGATGAGGAAAGCCGTAGTGCGTGTGCTTCCTTTGCACTTCATCGAATCAGCTAATGCAAGCTGTTTTCAACCCTGTCATTGAGAATATCACAAATAGGTTTGTGCTTCTATCTTTGAAATCTCAATCCCTTATAGCTGATGTTCTTAGAACCGCAAGCAGCTGGGTTTGGATCTTACAAGACGTGCATGAAAATGGGTGGTATCAAAACCAAACATTCTATACAGAGCTCTGGGCCTGGCCCTGGACCTTGGGATGCAGACCCAGCTGAAGAGCCAAGTTTCAGAAGGTTGGCACCACGCCGCATGCGGTCAATGGCCTGAGACCGCGGGGCCAAGTGGGCCTTGATCATGCCCATGCTTGCCGTATGTGAGGCCTCTTCTCTTGACCACAGCGCACCATGTTTGGACTTAGTTCTTCGAATATTCCTGAGAATAGCTCGGAATACCTTTCAAAACAAAAGCCTGGACTGTCTTCATCCTCCTTATCCTCCTCATCCCTCCTCCTCGCTCCGACTTCGGCCTCCGGAAAAAAACCCGCCTTGACCGCCTCGACGTGGAGCTTGGGATCGATCTGCACCTTGAGCCGTCGGAAGCGATCGCCTCAGGCGGGGCGCTCGTTTGCGGGGCGGACGTTGGAATACCCTTGCATGACGCAACCGAATGGAGCAGGTTGCGAAGTGGAGCAAAGGTGAAGATGTCGCAACCTACGATCGATCTGATCTGGCGCCTCAAAAAAGAGAACTGGACGACTGGCGTGCCGCGATGTGCCCTTAATGTGCTGTGCTTCTGTTTCTGGGGTAAACTGGGGGCCGGGGCCAGATAGACATATGAGGGACCTTCAAAATTCAAGTTCCAACATTGGAACGCTTCTAATGAGGCTTCGTTTTTGGTTGTCCGGCTTCGTTTTCCAAGGAATTGCACCAGGTAGGCTACTACGCTCTGTTTGTTCACCAGGTAAGTTAGATTACCACTGGACCTTTACAACTAGACACGGAAGAGCCTCAGTGTGGCTGTTACAATGTGAAGTACAGCAAAGTGCACTACCCCTCCATCTTCAATGAGCCCAGTACTGGATAATTACACATGCAAGCATCCCACCAAGAGGCTTCGTTTTTGGTTTTCCGGCTCCGTTTTCCAAGGAATGTCCAAGATCTCACCAAAAATGCATAAAAATGAACCATTTTATGTATAAAGCCTTAACGCATCTTAACGCTATGTTTTGGGGGGGTGGCTCATATCTGAAGTTCAAGTGGAATCAACTTGGCGATATACCCCTTGGTTTGAGAAACTCGCAGGGAACCGCAATTCGTGGTTTTCGTGAGAGTTGATGAACCGCATAGGCCAATCTATCAAGGCCAATCTATCAAGGTCAAAACAAAACACTTTCGCGTTGCGGCGAACTCGCTTCCTGCCGTCTGCCTGTGATCTTTTTCAGGTCTTCCCGCTCCCCGGCAGCCTGTGGGGAAGGAAAACCCGGTGGCGACGTCGAGGTGGAGAGGTCAGAGGTGTGGAGATGTGGACCATTCAACGAAGGCACCGGTGTCAACTTGGACACCGCCTGGATGTTGGTGGCTTCAGGAAAGCATTGTTCAGCCCACCATGAGCCGACCAGTGTCTACTCAAGATCCCCTGATCCCTCCGGCGTCAAACACTCAGGTTGACATGAGGGTAGGCGAAATCCCCCCCGTGAAATGGCAAGGACAGGGCTCCATGACCAGATCATCGGCTCAGCCGACCTCTCCCAATGAACCTTGTAGCACCGATTGGCTTCTTGAAAAAACTTACGGCAGCGACCTCCATTGTTCTTCATGCATGCACCTCAATGGCGTAGGTCTGCCCATTCTGCAACTGGTGGAAATGCTCAAACTCGAAGACTTGCCCATCCTCGCGTCGGGGGCGCGAAGCGCACGGAGGGGCTCGATCCACGCAGGAGGAGAGCCGCTGCCTTTGGGTTTTCGGTTTGTGGTCTGGGTGTTTGGAGCCTGGATGCCAACGGGGTTCTCTCACTGAAGGGTCTCAGCGGTCGTCCTCATGTAAGTGGTGATCCGGCGTTTGACGTTGGCGTGACTCTGAAGGGCCATCGGTGGACATAGGATGCAGAGAGTCACATGCCCAAATCCTTTGGGGGCTCTGAAGAAAACAAGAAAACCCCCGAAAACTCTGAAGAAGCGCTCATGTTCCTCATGATCATCATGCTTCTCGCAGTCTTCACCTGCATGGAGAAGCATTGAGATGTATCATGGGATGGCATAGGCCGGCCTGGAATCAGAACCAGCTTACGCCAAAGAAACGAAAAGCAAAGCCCAACACGTGGCCCAACACCTCCTCCGCTCCATCGGACCGGTCTCCTCCCTAGGCTCAGCCTTCTCTTCATCATCTGGGCCAAACGAGGTCGCAGAAGACATAGATCAAACGGGCCAAACGAGCCAAACCATGTGAAAACCGGGCCAAACGAGCCCGCACCGTTCTTTCCGTGTCGACAGACCGTCTCGGTTTTGATTTGCCACTTCCAATGTCAATGAACTGTCAGGTACAGTATATGTTGGTTTGTCCACCCAAGTCACACAGTTGGAGGACTGAGCACCGATGACTCTCATAATTCTTGCTCATTTCTCCATTCCCCCCAGACTTTTGTTTCCCTGCTGGTTCTCAAGGGATTGACTGCCAGGATCTAATTTGGGAAGGAAAAATGGGCTTCCACGATCCAATTCACCCAGAACCTCCAGTTTCACCAGTTTCGCCCCCTGATTGAGCCATGATATTCCTTCGCACTCGAAGGGGTCCCACGACTCCGCAGGGCACGCCTCCCAGCTGCACCTCCCGCAGCACAAAGCCTTGACTGCGAAAACAGATGTGTCACATCTTTATACATCTTTACTAGCCATCCATGCTTTCAATTAACCATTGAACCCCACAAGGCTATGTGAATGCTAGCTTATGCAGCACCAGTTTTGTTCATTGCTAGCCGTAAGCAAGTCTGTTTGCTTGCAGTATGATTCCTGTATCTTTCAATCAAAATGGGATTCAAAGACAACACCTCACACCTCGGATTCCAGAACAGGATCCCAGGTCCCTCACTTCCGTGTTCAGCCATGCCCCATGCCAACCAAGACAACTGGCAATTTTGCCACCTCCACCCGGCCTCCATCCATGATCGCGTCACAGGCACAAAGGATGGCCTGAACGGGCAATCAGCCGATTTCCAGGCTGCTCCTTTGGCTTGTCAAACCCCGGCCCCCAAGCAAGAAGAGCCCTTGAACCATTGCTGGAAGGCCCTGGAACCATCGAAAGGACTTCATATCGAGCGACATGATCTCCCGATGCCTCTTTGATGTCCTCAGGCTTCATATCTGAATACCATCCAACCTCAGGTCGCTGCCGCCAATGACAGTCAGTTCGAACTCCAAAACGTCGAAGGATCCGAAAGACCTATGTCTTCTAGTAGTCCTATGTCCGAACGCTCCGCGACCGAGTCGCGATCAAGACCTATGTCTTCTAGTAGTCCTATGTCCGAACGCTCCGCGACCGAGTCGCGATGCCCTTACTGCTCCGTTTGAGTCGCGATGCCGCCAGGTTCGCCCCGTTCGGTTCGCGTCCGATTGCTCCGTAGCGTTACTCTCCTCCAGCGGTCCTGAGAGAACCAACACAGTTCTTCTCACCCTTGTGGTACACGAAGATCATCTTCTTATCAGGCTCCTTGTGAAGGAGAAGGAAGAAAGAATCCAAGCTGTGCAGTTGCCTATGCCATGCCTGCCTTGGATTCTTGGCAAATACATGCTCAATGGCAAATACATGTAGAAAACATGCCATGCCTCCACTGAGGAAGATGCCCTCAGCGCAAAACGCGGGTCTGAGCTTACTTGGGGCTTTTGATGTGTGTGTGTGACTTTTCTGTCCAAGCCTTGGTCAATCTCGAGTCCATCTTTGTTTGAGGTGCTTATATCATTATTCAAAAGAATCTTGCCAAATTGATGTGTTTTCGATACGAATGACATGCCATCCTCATGTATCTCCAACAACCATGCCCCTCCACCAGTGACAACCCCTTTCCAACCTAAGTGCCCTCTCAGGGCCTGGCGCGCCGCCCAAGCCCAACAGGTCCCCCCCATCTCCCGTTGCCTGGATCACCGTGGAAGAATTCAGACGGGTGCATCAGGCTATGCAAGAGATGGTCAATGTTGGGCAAGGAGGAACCAAAAAGGTATTTCTCAACAATGCACTATTTGGAAAGCCTCACCTTGCCAATGGCCATGGGTTCAATGCGTTGCCTGCGAGTTCATGTTCATGACTCATGATCATTTACACAAGGGGGTTCAACAGATTCATATTGTGAAGTATTCATAAGTATTCCAACTCTAGCCAAACTCCTGCACCAGTACCCATCACCCTCAATTTCGGCCTGTGTGCCAGAGTTGGGGTTGAAGTCGCCCGCCTGAATTGCGAAATTGGAAGATACAAGCAGCTACCGGCTTCGGCCCTTATTAAGTGCTTCACCCCCTTATCTGCAACCTGGGAAGTTGCGCACCCAAGTCGTCCAATTGTATGCTGAAGATGGAGTGGTTATCCCTAGGCTGTCAGGGGGTGCAGGGTGTTCTGGACTTGGACGAAGTCTTCCAATACTGAAACCAATAGAAATTAATGGTCTATAGATATCACTTGAGGGTTTTGTAGAGGTTTTGTTGAAGTTCCTATTGTTTGTCTACGTACCCCCCCCTCAAAACTCTCGGCTTGATTCCCAAACGTTGGTTTATAGAGGCTCGACCAAAATGAAGAGGCTGTACTCCAACGCGGTTCTGATGGTGCCACATCACAATGTCCGCCCTTCTCGTGAAACCCTGACGCTCACTGACTAGCCAAACACACTTGCAGTCCCAAGAGAAAGCGGAATGACCGAGCTGCAAAGGCTCGACGCGCACTTTTAGATCAAACAAGCGACAGGCGACAGATGAGAGATTGTCAAAATTGACCGTCCGCAAATAGGACATGGGATTCGTCTTCAGTTCCATATCACATAATTGCGGGAGGGTTGCCATGTGAGTAGAGGACAAGGCTTCTTGTGTGTTCCCAATGCATGAAAATGGCATGGGTATGCTTGGCGTCGGTTCTGGAGGGTTTGGATCATTCCACATACACTTAGGGCAGCCCCTTACTCAGCGCACATATACGGAAGGGTTGTCAAATGCCCTACTTGACAATCTGGGTTTGGTGCAAAGTCCGGTTCATGTGGGGGGTCATCATCTCAACACCTTGCTCGCTTCAGCTACTGCACTTGCAATGTACCAAGACCCCCTAAGAAACCTAGGATCGAATCCTCTTTGTGGAGCTCAGAGTGGTTGGCAGGCGTCCGTGCTTAACAAAGAATCAATGCTTCATGGACTCCAGATGCGAGTGCCGCTGGTCTATATGACTTCTGAAAACGGAGTGAGGGCACGTTCCATCAATTCCGGCAGGTTGCTTGGCCCCACCAGCAAACCCGGCTCCACCAGGTCTCTTTGGTCGCCTTGGTCCCTTGGGTCCCTTGGGTCCGTCCAGGTTGGAGGACCCCACCGGGAAACCGGGCGATCGAAAGGCAGTGCCAAACATCCGGTGTGCCAGGCACCCACCCGTACGAAATTACAAGTTGAAAGGCAGTTGGGATAGCCCGGACTTAACACTTAAGGATCTATGTCATTGCATGTCCATATATATATACATACAGCTTATAGGACTTGTAATATATATATATATAGGACTTGTGGATAGCCCAAAGGACATACAATATATGTGGTCTATTGTATAAGCTATATTATAGCATAGTCATATACCTTGGGTTGCCTGAAGGTCGCATCGCCAGAAAGGGAATCATCTCAACATACGGATCCCAAAACCACAGGCGCTTGGTCTCAAGCTACTTCTCACACCCTCCCACTTCTCAGACGAAGAAACAATACAAATGCTTGGTTGACCACCAGAGAAAGAACAGAATCCCCTTGTGAGGATATCAACCCATATATCATATATACATATATTATACAAATATCAATCTACCATAAATCGACCGATTTCCGGGAAAAAGTATGTCTTGACTGTGCCACACCTTCCTTCCCCCCTTACCTGGTCTTAGAAGACTCTTCGGGCCTCCGCAGAAGCCGCTTCTGCTGCAGCCTTGCAGGAGGCGTGGGGCAAGGCTGCATGATCAAGGGATGAGGAGCGGTCTTGAGTCTTATCTTTTTCAAAGAACGCGGCGTGACTCACGATCGGTTTTGAGGTGGACCATATCATGTTACAGCTACCCCTCTCTGCGAGTACTAAAGTGGTCTTCGCCTGTTTTGATCGTGGCTCGGATGATTTCGTAGCTCGACTCGGGTGGCAGAAGCCACATAGAAATATCTTACAGCGAACTGGCTTGCGGATAATTTGAAGTCATTATTGACATTCAGATTTTATATAAACCAAAGCAACAAAGCAAAAACTACATGCTCAACCAATGCTGACTCACTGCTCTCCCCTGGAAAAAACAAGCTTCCACCCTTGGTGAAAAAAAGCCTGTGTTTTTCCCTTTGAATGCCTCCCACCATTGGTGCCAAACAAACAAACCGACCCCCACGCGGCCCAGTGACCACCCCCCAACCCGCCCGTGCCCAGTGCCGCTCCTTCTGTCCCGGTGTGTCAAACTGATGCGCCACCGGATCTGTGCGGATCGAAGGCACCGGTTTGGTGGTGTCGACCGGAAATGGCACCGGTGTGGTGGTACTCCCCCGAGGCTGCAGATTGAATTGAAGATCTACCAAGCGATTTATATGCAGATCCATGCACTCTGATCCTGCTTTGCTTTCCTTTCAAACACAGTTGGCGCACCAAATTCATCTAGACTTCCAAAGTGGATCAGGTTGTCGTCGCTCTTCTTCTTCTGCTCCATGGTTTCTGGCCAAAAGTCGGTTGAACGAACGTCGCTTTTGAGAAACTGAGTGTCTGACACAAAATGCATTGACAAATCATCTCAAGACTCTATGAGACCTTGCATGAAAACCTCTGGTGAATCCCAGGGCTTGACCCCGACCGCACGAAGACGTGCGAAGATGTGCACTAGCAATCCTGTACCTGTCAGATCCTGTCAGCAGATTGCTTTATCTAGCTCAGAACCTCATGATGCCCATGGTAAGTGATAACTGAGTACGAGTCCAACAGTCCTTTCCACAGTGTTCACAGGGAACATGCTTGGTCTGTGTCGTTTGATCACTTTTTGATGGCACAGAGCTCCAGCTCCTCAACGCATCTCAAAGCATGTTACTCTCACCATCACCACCGGTCGCAGTTCATCATGCCCCCCGGGCCAACGGCCCCCACCGAGGTTGCTATAGGGGTCAGCGCTCTTCTCCGCAATGGGATCGAAGGACACCTGATGAGGCTCCGGTGTCAAGGTGCAGTGCGGCTTTTCGGTTGGGTAGGGAAGTAGTTCCATGTTCCATGTCTAAACTAGAGTGAATAGTGAAGTGTTAATCTATAACTAATGTCACAATCTCAATCATTCTTCCTTCATGGAATTGTTCAATCTCCAAGAATGCTGAACTCCATGTGTCTAAGAAACAAATGTGCTATCTTGCATGTACGTGGTTGGATGACAAGCATGTTTGTTTCATGTTCATGGTTTGGTATTGTGTGCCAAAATACGAGACATCACCCACTGTCCAAGGAACATAAACAAAACCAAGCAAATACTGCAGTGCAGTGGGCCGTTATGCGGTGCAAACCAAAATGACACACATCGGGGTATCCAAATGACACAGTTCGCAGGAAAGTACAAACAATCAAGCGCCTCTTCCTTGACAGTTGGTTTTGTGCCTGTGCCATCAGCTTGGAGATCTCAAAATCTATGCTGACACCGATTGGACAGTCGTCTGCTTTCTTGCTCTTGCATGACAGAAAGAACAGGTTGCCAGTACGCGTTTGGATCTCGCCCGTGGTCGAAGTGGTGTCTCACTCCCCGCCTGCCACCTCTGCCACCTAGCGTCAAGCGCACATTGCGACAGTTTAGCTGAGTAGTAGGTGCGTGGTAGGTGTGTGCGAACATAGTCAGGCTTCAGTCCCCTCGGAATATACCAAGATTGGATATGCACACCGGGGCCCTTGGGGCCGTCTTCTCGCTTGACAACACCACTCCCATTCGAAGATTGCTCAAAGGAGTGGCTCGGAAAGCGCTGGATGGGGTCACCAGACCGTCGCTTGGAAGGACAAAAGGGCCCATACCCCTTGACTCTCTGGACCATTGGCCTGCTGTGGAGGCGTCAACTTATGTTCAGTGGGTTTTCTATGGTTTCATGTGGTCATAGTGGTGTTTGATGTTGAAATTAAGTTCGTTTCGGAAAGCATTATGACTAGAATCCAGCAAGCTCAGTGCTGGACAGGAGCTGCGGCAGATGGTGCAGAGGCAAAGTCCCCCCAGTCATCTGCGGTGGAGTCAAGCGATCCAAACCGACCCGGCAAGAGAGTCATTGTGGTCAGTGTGGATAGTTAAGGTTTCGAAAGGGAAAAAACAAAATAGCAGAAAGTACTCTTGGGCTGTTGCTGGCTGGGATACAAATAGCTATCTGGAACCCCAAACACAAATGTCTGTAGCCACCAAGCCGATATTAATAGTGTGTGGAGTTCATCGGCGTAGGGGGCCGGTAAATGTGCTGTCCCCGCTGACCCTGTTGACCCAGTTGAACAGGATGTCCCGGTTGGCCCAGTTGACCCGGTTGAACCCAGCTGATCCAGTTGATGTTGATGCGATTGACTTGGCGTGATGTAAGCGTGGTAGTGGTATATAGTGAAAGTGGTAGTGGTCGTGGTCGTGGTCGTCGTCGTCGTCATCGTCGTGGTGGTGGTGGTGCTGGTCCGTGGTGGTGGTCGTCGTCGTCGTCGTCGCCGGCTTCCTCCTGCACGTTCCGAAGGGAAAAGGCATAATATATGACAAATGACAAGTGTTTCAATCCAACTACATATGCACTACAACGTCGACGACAGCTTAAAGCATGGATGTAGACTGGCAGATACATTTGCGGTCGAGCATCCAACGCGTACTGCTTTCATTCTCAAGATTGGAGTCAGATGGAAGTCCGCAAAGGACACTGAGGAGTCAGCATCGTCACACAACGTGGTACCTGCAAGAGCCGGACTATCGATCTTTTTTCTTGAATGTAATCAATTGGAATTATACGCCGAAAATATTTTCCATTGGGCACAGCTCTCCACATCACAAGGCCAGGCCTCGACGGAAATGCCCTGTAAGTGCGCGAAGGGTTCCATCAACCACTCCGCTTTCACAGCCACGCGAAAAGCGCAGGGCATCACAGCACTGTTCCGCATTCCACTCGCGCGATCAGCACGCGGTCAATGTCACCACCACAGCGTTTGATCGTGGCCCAGGTGTGTCCACGATCGGGCGCACATCACATATACACTGGCCACCGGCATGCGCAGTGTATGCAAATCAGCTGTGCGCAAAGCCAGCGCCATGACACGTGAGCACAAAGAAATCGAGACTTGAAATTAGCCCAGCTGGAGACCCCAATAGCAAGATACAAACCGGGACAAAAAGAAAAATCTGGAAACAGCTGCTGTTTTCAACACATCGACCATCTCTTCCTTGGACACCATCATCACATAACCGGGACACCATCACAAAATGACCAGGGCACCATCAAAACATGACCGAGACACCGTCACAACATGATTGGGACACCATCACAACATAACCGGGACACCATCACAAGGTGACCGGGACACCAGCATGACATGACGGGGACACCATCACAACATGACCGGGACACTATCACAACATGACCAGGGCACCATCAAAACATGACCGAGACACCGTCACAACATGATTGGGACACCGTCACAACATAACCGGGACACCATCACAAGGTGACCGGGACACCAGCATGACATGACGGGGACACCATCACAACATGACCGGGACACTATCGCAACATGACCGGGACACCGTCACATGACCCGGACACCATCAAAACATAACCGGCACACCGACAAAACATGACCAGGACACCATCACAACATGACCGGGACACCATCAAAACAAGACCGAGACACCGTCACAACATGAGCAAGACACCATCACAACATGACTGGGACACCGTCACAACATGACTGGGACACAATCACAACGTGACCGGGTCACCATCACAAGCTGACCGGGACACCAACATGACATGACGGGAAAACCATCACAAGATGACCAGGACACCATCACAACATGACCGGGACACCGTGACATGACCCGGACACCATCAAAACATACCCGGCACACCGCCAAAACATGACCAGGACACCATCACAACAGGACCGGGACACCATCAAAACATGACCGGGACACCGTCACAACACGACCGGGACACCATCAAAACATGACCGGGACACCATCACAACATGACCGGGACACCATCAAAACAGGACCGGGACACCATCACAACATGACTGGGACACAATCAAAACATGATCGGGACACCATCACAACATGACCGCGCCACCATCACATGATCGGGACACCATCACAACATGACCGGGACACCATCACAACATGACCGGGACACCATCAAAACATGACCGGGACACCATCACAACATGACCGGGACACCATCAAAACATGACCGGGGCACCATCAAAACAGGACCGGGACACCATCACAACATGACCGGGACACAATCAAACATGATCGGGACACCATCAAAACATGACCGGGACACCAGCATCACATAACCCGGACGCCATCAAAACATGACCGGGACACCATCCGCCCACCAGCTCTGACGGTGACCCGACGGCGCCCGTCCGCCTATTAGTTTTGCAAGACCCCATAGCATGGCTATTGGGGAACAAGCCACACCACCCGCAAAACGCAAATCTATATCCAATTCAATCAAACATATCGACACAAACTGAAAACAGTCACGCCTACAATTTGTTTCACCACACCACAAGCCCCAAACGCGGGACCGTCCGTCGACTCAACATCACCCGTGTCCTTCCACATAAATGGCTATAGTTCAGTGATTGCACTGGTGCGCTTGATCATTTCATATTTCACCTGCGCAACAAAGGTAGTCATCAAAGTCGGAAGCGAAGGGCGTCCAACTTACAAACCAAAAAGATGAAACAACTATGATTACACGTCAACAACTACAGGGCTACTACCACTACTACTACTACTACTACTACTACTACTACTACTACTACTACCAGCGTTTTTCTATATTCAATAAAGTCGCTTTGAACCCAAGCCCTTGGTTGGAAGGGTTACAGCAATTCACACGCGGGCTCCACAGCTTCAGAGGAAATCATGCACCATCATACCCAAGCCCGGAAAGAACCGCTCGCTCACCCATTCGAAGACCCGGGATACACTGGCGTGATAGAACCATGTTATCATCTCCAGTGTTATCAACGCGTGGCCACGTTCCCTTCTCAGTGCGCCGTACGCACTGTGGCGCCATAGGCGCTCCAGCTCCAAGACGATGCTGCGCAGCGGCAACGCCATAGCTCCCATGACATCGAGGCCGAAGCGCTTGACATCACCAGCCCTGCCTTGCAACTCGGACAACGCCCTTTGCGCGGCCCAGCGCGTGCGCCAAACCGATATCACCGGCAGGCATTCTGGTTCATATGCAGTGGTGTAATCCACAGGCACGAACTGAATCACCGTTGGGTTGACAGACACCGGCGCCATGTAGTCGCTTTGGCAGCCAATCAACAATACCAGCAGAAAGCAAAAAACGCTTCAAATACTAAACAACTTTCTCCAATCGGTTGTGTATTATTCAGCCTTACACAACATCGATGCATAAATGTGTCATTCAGCTCGCAATGTTGAGGCACCATAGCAACACGTCAACACAAACACGGTAGGGGGGCGGTGAATCCTAACTACAATGCTTAGTTCAAATCTTTCTTTGGGTTTCTCAATACGCTGCAAGCACTTCGGTGTGCTTTAGAATTGTGAACCCGAACTCAACACACAGAGCCAAAATCCTTGAAAAATCAAAAAACAAAAAATCAAAAAATAAACAAAAAGGAAAAACAAATCCACACTCAGGAGAACAGGTCTACTTAGGACAGGACTCAAAAAAACACAAAGCAAGACTCAAATCCAGACCCAAACCCAGACTCAAAAAGACAGACTGACTCAAATCCAGACTCAAATTCTCTGTTGCTGAGTCCGGATTTGCTTTGTTCCTCTCTTCAACCTTCTGCCATCGTGAAATTCCATGCGAGTCTTTTTTCTGATTTCTATATATTTCTATGCGGATTATTTGTTTGGTTTCAAGTGCTTGAGATCCAGTTTCAGTTTGGTGTTGAGTCACCTGCTGCTTTCTGAGGGCTAGGCTAGGGTGGGCTGGAACCTACATTTTCCCTTCAGAAAAAAACAAATCCAGACTCAAATCCAGACTCAAAAAAAAAAGACTTGCTCAAACCCAGACTCAAATCCAGACCCAAATCCAGACTCAAATCCAGACTCAAATTCTCTGTTGCTGAGTCCGGATTTGTTTTTTTTCCTCCGTTCAACCTTCTGCTACTTGAGTCTCCAGTTGAGTGTGTTTTTGCGTGTGGTCTTGAGTTCTGGTTTTGGGCTGAGTCTAGGTTTGTTTTTGGTGTTTGTTTCTATTTTGCGTATTTTTTGTGTTTTGAATTTTTCATCTCGAACCTCTTCTTTGTGTGTGTGTTCGGGGTCACAACTTTAGAATGTGAAAAATGATCCTTGCATGGAGGATCGCAGGTGCATACACACACACACACACTTCGATAATGGGTTTGCAGTTAACTCTGTTCCACGAAGAAAGGAATGAGGGAACGGAAAGGCGATGGAGTCCGCTGACTTGAATTGTTAAAACAATTGTTTTGCATATCTGCCGAATGAATACGTAGCCATTAGTTACTGAATACTTAGCAGAAACGAATTAACGCCGTGCATGGAACCCTGGTTTGGGGGACGTATCATGAAAACCACCATGAAAGCAAAAAAGAGAGTAGAACAGCGTGGACAACAGTTTAACCGCCGGTACGTTTGGCCAACGAAGACACCCCCCACCTGGCTCCGGCCCCCGGCGGCTTTAAACAAACTCAAAAACCTTGGAAACAGAGTAACAAAAACTCCTAGAGACGGAGGTTGACACACACACTTCGAACTTGGATTTTCAGTTAATGCAAGTATCACGTTGGGAAGGAAGGTGAGGGAAACGTAAGGTGAAAGGTCAGCGCAACTGAAATGTTTAACAATCTGTTCACTCATCTGCAGAAGCGCGGCTGAACGTCGGCGGCTGAAGGCAGCGGTGGGAAAACCTGTTTGGGGGTGGTAGCATGAAGGATCATGAAAACAAAGAACAGCGGCAGGGTGGACCAGTGGAGTCATTGTGTTGAAAGCAGGTACGTCAGTTCCGCGTCCGGAACT